GGGGGGGGGGAGAAGAGGGGAGGGGGAAGGACTATGGCAGTAGCTACATGGTAGGACATGGGGAATGCATGTGGTGAGGTAGAACTTGGAGGGGAGGGGGTGTTTGAAAGAGACCGCCCTGGGCCTTGGGGCCTGGGCTTCAGTGCGCGGGGTTAGGCTTGCGACCACAACACAGGGTGTGACGCGAATGGATGCGCAGTGGCATGTGTGAGGGGAGGATGTTGTGGAAGGGTGGTGTGAAAGGCGGAGGGTGGAAGGGAGAGGCAGGGTGAGCCGATGGCCGAGTCCGGCCGGCTGCCCCGCCTCGCCTGCAGCGGAGAACGGATCAATGACGGACCATTCAGGCAAAGATTGGAGAGCGATGTTCAGTGCTCGCCGTGGGCGTGATCATCGCCATGGCCGTCGCCGTGGCCGTGGCCCTCCCACGGGTGGCGCATGCCGAGCATGACCGGCAGATCCTGCTTGGCCCGGTACATGATCCAGAACCAGCAGACGGCTCCAGCAGCCACGGCAGCCTTGCGATGCCAGCCAGCAACCTGTTCCAACCAACCAACAATATGTGAGTCTCTCCCGGAAACCAAATCAGCGTGCAAAGGAGCGGGCGGGCGGCAAGTGCGGTTCCCCATGCCAAGCCGAGTGAGCCGACACGCCTGGATTCTGTCGACTGACGAGGCAAAGGGGGAGGGGGGGGGGGGCTAAGCCGTCGCCGCCGTCGCCCGCCGCCGCCCGCATCATCCTCCGCCGCATCACACCCGCCGTCGACGGTCTCGGACGACTCGTCCGTCGCCACTGTTGAGGCCATGGCCGCTCACATGCAGCAGATGGAGCTCTTTGCCGAAGAGATCTAGGTCCGCCTCAAGCCGCTTCACAGTGCCGCGGGCATGACAAACAGCGGTTTGGCCGGAGTGTACGGTCCGTCGAGCGCAGCCAGCGCAGCTGCGAGGCCATCGGTGTCAAACGGATACGCCTGCGCCTCGACCGTGAGCTCGCGACTCGCCATCCACGCCACAAGCTGGGCGTACATGGCGTGCTTGGCCTCGGAGCTCGCGCTCTCGATCCAGCGAGTCATCCAGAAACCACGCGCCTCGATGTCGTTAAAGATGAGAAGGCCTGTCGGGAGCGTTACCGGTCGCTTGGACATGCCGCCGTAGGTGACGAGCACCCCGCGATGTGCGAGCATCTTGGCCAGGCTCACTGATGACCGCCCGCCGACGCAGTTGAGCCCGAGCTGGGGCTTGGCCTCCGCCTCGTTGCCGGCCACCTTCCGAAGCTTGGACGCCATGCCCCGCGCGTCCGCAGCCTCCTCATCGGTCACCACCAGCGACGCGCCAAGCGCGTACAGCTCGTCCGCCAGCGCCGCGTCCGCCTCGGGACTTGCCCGCTTACGCACCACGTTGATCGAGGCAATGCCGCGAGCCTTGGCAATCTGGATGGCTGCCCGGCCCACTCCCGAGTTAGCCCCATTCTGCACAAACATGCCGGCCTGGTCGAGATCCACATAGTCTGCGAGCATGCGCATGGCCGACGTCGGGTTGACCGTCAGCGTCGCTGCCTGTGCCAGATCAAGGGCTTCTGCTGCTGGACAACCATCGGGCACCAACGGATCCAGAGCAATGAGTGCATCGGCAGGGACCGTCATTTCCGTCCGCCACCAGCCGAGCATGGGTGCAGCCGGAATGACCCACTGACCGGGCACAAAGCGGTTGGTCGCCTTTGCGCCGACTTGGCGAACCACTGCCACGCCTTCATTGCCGCCCACTGCCGGCAACTGGGCAGGCTTCCGAGGATAGACACCTTGAATTGTGTTGATATCTGCCGGGTTCACTGGTGCCGCCAGGACCTCTACCACAACTTCATCATCAGCTGGCGGTGGTGGTGGCGCCGCTGGTCCATGACCAAGCACTTCCTTGGGCGAGCCGTACTCACTGTACTGCACCATCGATGCCACACTACGAAGACCATGCGCCATCATGGGTCGGTAGAGGGTGGGGAGTGCACGGCGGACAAACATGATAGCACAAGGGTGTGTATGAGAGAGAGAGAGAGAGAGTGTGTGTGTGTGTGTGTGTGTGTGT